CCTCCTCCTCCTCCTCCTCCTCCTCCTCCTCCTCCCTCTTCCTTTCCGTAGCCATTTTGGCTCAAGATGCTTTGTTCCACAGGGAAACACGTGTATACTGCTAGTCCGCGGCCAGTGCCAGGGCTGCTCTGCCCAACAGTTTTGGCGAGGGGTGGTCCGCCCCACTCTGTCGAGTCTACGAAGCTCTCGCAATGGGGCCGAAGGCTCAGCCAGGTTTCGTCATCTGCACCTCGTGCCGCTACAGGTGGAACTTCCGCAAGAAGCCACACTGCTGGTCGTGCGGCCAATCCCTCGAGCCCAAGCCTGCCAACCCGTCGCCACGCAATGGTGTCTGGGCGGGCAATGGAGCAGGCGGGGCAGCGCCGAAGGCCAGCCCCCAGGCCAAGGCCGCAGCGGCGGGCGGGAGCCCCAAGGCCAAGGCCGCAGCGGCGGGCGGTGCCGCCGATGGCCGCCGCGGCTTCCCTGGCGCCCCCTGGTCGTCGGCAGTGTCTTCGGAGCTCGACAAGCTGCTGGCCATCCCCGATCCGACCATCGCGGCCAAGCTTCGGGAGGCGTTTGCGGAGGCCCGTGACTTCGTCCCGCCGCCGCCTGCAGCAGCCCCAAGGACCTTGGAGCAGCAGCTGCAGTCGGCCACCGGTCGCCGCATCAACTTCCAGCGCCAGCTCGACGAGGCCGCCGACGCCCTGGTGGCGGCTGAGGAGCAGCTGGACGAGTGCTGTGGTTGGCGCGACACTTGCGCGGCCAGCCTGGCGGAGGCCCATGCGGAGGAGGCCAAGCTCCTGCGCAGTCGGGCCCAGGCCGGCATCACGCCGCCGACTCCTGATGGCTCGAAGTCGGTCACCTTCACATTCGACGTGGAGTCGCTCGAGAACTTCAGCGAGCTGGAGGGGGAGGCCCAGACCAACCTCCGCCAGATGTGCGAGGAGGGCCACAAGGTCATGCTGGAGGCCCAGGCGGCTTTCGAGCGCAACTGCCAGGAGCAGTGACAGCGGCTCAAGAAGGACATCGATGAGGCCCTGGTCAGTAAGTGCCGTAAGCGGGAGCGGACTCAGCCATAGGAGCCTGCTGGGGTACCCGCTCAGGAGCCAGCGGCAGCAGCTGCGGCCGAACAGCAGTCGCCCCCACCTGCTGCGGCAGCGGCTGGCGCGCCCCCCGCCGCCGCGGCTGAGCCCACCAGCGTCTCCAATCAGCACGCCGCGAGGGCAGCATTGGAGCTGCGGCAGCCAAGGCAGCCCGCAGCCCGCCAGCGGGCCACCGAGCACAAGGTGGCCAGCGCGCCTGCTGCGCCTGCTGCTGGTGATGGGGCTGCTGGTCAATTCGCAGGGTAGCGGCCCCCCTGGCAGAGGGGGTGAAGGCGGCCCTCCTCGTGGGCTGCTGGAGCACGTGGCGAGGGGGCCGAGGCTGCTCGGAAGGCAGCCTCCCCCCACGTGGCCCCTTCCTGCGCGGCCCCCAACGTGGGGGTGGTCGAAGCCTGCCAGGTACGGAGGCAGCGTCGACCAGGAGGCCCGAGGCCCAGCTGAGACAGACCCCACGGCTGCGGAATGTCAGAGTCTGGTGCAGCACAAAGAACAAACACACACCCGCTATTGCAGGCGTGGAGGCCATCAGCCTCGTGCAGTGCCTGCCCCACCTGGAGCCCTTGGCGCTGCAGCTGGGCTCGCTGGATGGCGACCTCCGCATCTGCATCTACAACGGAAATACTTGGAACCCGATTGCCAGCGTCCACGAGTGGATGCGCAGAAAAGGATCGAACCGCACGTGGCACTGATGCAGGAGACTCGTTTCTCCTCCCGGACCGCCGAGGAGCAGGCCCACGGATGGGCCGACCGATGCGGCCTCCAGCTGGCATGCTCGGCAGCGTTCAGAACGGGAGAGGCGGCCACGGCTGCTTCGTCGGGGGTCGGCATCGCCACCTCGAAGTTGCTAGGCTCTGCGCGGTTCGCCCAGCCATGGGCAGGCCAGCAGCGCAGGTTCCTCTCCCGCAGGATCTCGTTGGGCAAAGGGCACCACCATTGCCATGATCTCGGTCTACCTTGAGGGCGCCGTGGGCCTGCAGGGATCCAATCGCCAGCTGCTCGCCGACCTCCACGAGTGGTGCGTGCTCTTGGGCGACCCCTTCGTGATGGGCGGCGACTGGAACATCGAGGCCTCGGAGCTTGTGGACTCTGGCTGGGCTTCATCGGAGGGGCTGTTCTGGCCCCGGGTACAGCGACGTGCACTGACAACAAGTACGACTACTTCGTCATCTCGGCTGTGTTAGAGGCCATGGTTGGCTCCATCACGGCTCATGCAGATACGCAGGACGGTCCTCATCAGGCGGTTCCCCTTGTGCTGCGAGGCTGCTGGGAGCGACCCATGGCACAGACCCAGCGGGTGCCCGAGGCCTTCGAGTTGGAGAGCGTGGCCGATGACACTGCCAGAGGCAGGCGCGACCAGTTGGTCGAGTCGCTGGCATGGCCTCCTTCTGACACTAGACCTGATGGCCCCATCAAGGAGTGGTTCACGCAAGCAGAGCGGGCTTCCCAGGCACTCCACGGCATGTCAGATGACGAGGCCCGTTTTTTCAAGGGCAGGGCCAAGGGCGTCAGGACGGTCGCCGTCCCGCTCGGGGCCAAGATGCATGCAGGTCGATCCGACAAGGCTTCAGTCATCACCCAGCGTTGGCTCTCCCTTCGCCACCTCGCCAAGCGCAGGTGGGATCTGGGCCCAGGCGGCTCGCCAGACGGCTACAAGACCCGACGAGGGCAGCAGCTGCGAGAGGCGGCGCTCCGTCTTCGTGGCACCCCCCAGGACCTGGGCATCGCCATGTTCGACGGCTCCATCTTCGACAGCTTCTGGGGCGAAGCCGGCCTCCAGCCGGACATTGGCTACAACCTCATGGCCATGATCGAGCCGCCCGTGGTCAAACATGCCAAAGAGGACTCCCGGGCCAGTAAGTTGAAGTGGGACGACTTCACCGAGCTGGCCTTCGAGCGGCACGGGTCCATCGCCCACGAGGTTTCCAAGAAGACCCACGTCGAGCCAGCGCCCATCCTGGAGGCGGGCTCCACTGACTTTGCCCTCGTTGGACAGCCTGCGCTCGAGAGGGTCCTCGCGGACTGGCTCCATCTCTGGGTGGACCCACGCCGGACGAATCAGGAAACTCCAGGTCCTGGGAGACCTCCTCCTCTTCCTCCTCCTCCTCCTCCTCCTCCTCCTCCTCCTCCTCCTCCTCTCCTCTCCTCTCCTCCTCCTCCTCCTCCTCCTCCTCCTCCTCCTCCTCCTCCTCCTCCTCCTCCTCCTCCTCCTCCTCCTCCCCTCCTCCTCCTCCTCCTGCTCCTGCTCCTCCTCCTCCTTCTCCTCCTCTTCCTCCTCCTCCTCCTCCTCCTCGGGTCGCCTACGGCCCAGGGGGAAACCGTGCATCCGCGCCCTGTGCTTCATGTCGGGCGGGTGGTAATGGGCGGGGACCTACCCGGGGCGCTCCAAAACGGGCCTCGCCTTCGAGGATCGAAGGAGTTGTCACCTCTTTCGCGGCGGAAGGCGGCGGGAGGGCGGCGGAAAATCGGCGGAAGGGAGACGGGGCCGCCTCCGCCGGCAGAAGCTAGCGGAAGGCCGGCGGAAGGCGGCGGAAGCGAAAGATACACCCCCAAGAGATGAAAACGTTTTTTGGGGTTCAGGGTTTCTAGATTTCGCCACATGAGGGGTGAAGAAAACGACCAACAGGGGCCCAAGACGGGTCCCAAAGGGGCCCTCAAGGGCCCTTCTCTTCACCCCCGTGCAGGTCACCCCGTAGTACCACCCGCCCGATGCATTTTCCAGGGAGCAGCGGAGGCCGTGTCTTTTGCTTGCCCTACCCTCTGTCCTACAGGCACTGGGGCCTCTCGGCGTTGTTCGCCAGAGCTCGGGCCTCGGTTGGGCGGCTCCCTTTGGCGGTGACCCCCGCGCTCGGCCCCACGCGGTGGCCGTTTCTGCCGCGGTCCCTGCTCTCACCATCTGCCTTGCCGCTCTTTGCCTCTCTTCTCTGGCTCTCGCGTGTGAGGAGGCAAAACGCCCCGACCCCCATACTTGGCGTTTGCTACGCGGCCCTAGGCGCTCACTCAACCGCCCTGCCCTGTTCGATTCCTTCCCTGGGTGCGTGTATTGAACGGCTTCGCCTGTCTGGGTGCTTGTGGTTATCCTGCTTCCTAGCAACGGGGGGATGGGTGCAGCTTCTAGGTTGTAGCCGGTTCGCCTGCACGGGCGCCTTCCCCTTGCTGCTGCTGCTCCTCCTCCTCTTCCTCCTCCTCCTCCTCCTCCGCCTACTCCTGTTCTTCCTCCTCCTCCTCTTCCTTCTCCTACTTTTCCTTTTCTGCGGTAATCAGAGAAAATGGTGGGGGGCGGGCGGAATCTGCTGCATGCTGCCGTTTTCGGCCCCGCCGAAAGGCGCACATTCTCTGGACACTGGGGCCTTCCAGTGCTGGGGGACCAGAAGCGACTTCTGCGTGAGCTGACAGGGTAACGCCATCTTTGCTATCCCCCCCTTTTCGTCCGACCCGACTCTGACCTCTCTCTATATTTAAGTCGGGCATGTCCCTCTGCATGAGGAGTATTCAAAAATAGTCAAACAATAGTCTGTGGGACGATTTTTCTAATATGTTGATTGTGACAATGTCTGAATATTTTTTTTCGTCAAAATTACCCCTGCAGTGGGACATACCCGACCGAACTCTATATCTGCCCTCCTCCTGCACTCCTCCGCCCGTTGATCCGGGAATCGTGCAATATTGCTTTCCAGTGCTACATCCTTTGCTCGGGATTGATCAGATTCCTGCGGAAGGTGTTCGGACCGCGTGACTAAGCACCTCCTACTCTTCCTTGCATAGACAAGAAACATACTTGATTCCTCCTCGAGGTTAATCCCAGGGGACTGTTCATCCTCCCCCTGCCCCAACCCCCACCCCGCGGGCCAGATGAACAGGGTGGGGAGGTTGCACAGCGGGGGGCGTCACGCTAGCAGCCGCGCGCACCCCAAAGCTGCACGCATCCCCCCCCGCAGACCTCCTTACCATGAGGAGGGTGTTTTACAGACGAGGGCCTTCGAGTAAAACTGTTGTGTTGGATCGTCGTCGTCCTCGTTCGTTCCCTCGTCTTTCTGCTTCTCCTCGCATTTCCGCTCCTCTTCTTACACATCCTTCTCTTGCTTGTCCTCCTCCTCCTGCTTTTCTGTGTCCTCATTTCTCTATCGCTATGTCTCTCTCTCTCTCTCTCTCTCTTTGTTCTCTCTCTCTCTCTCGCTCTCTCCCGCTCGTGGCATTGCTTCATCTTTCCCCCCTCCCTCCCGCTCCTCACCTCCCGCAGCCCGGCTGCCCGTGCTGGGCTCGGGGCTGGTCCCCCCCCTTTTGGCGGCGTAGTTAGGCCCAATTTCCAAACTCGTGCCTGGCTCTTGGCCAGACGACGCTCAGGCCGAACGGAAGGGGATAGGGAAAGGGGGGTTTTGGAAATTTGCTGCATGCAGCTGGTTTCGGCCCCGCTGCTGGGCCCACTCCTCGATGCATGGGCGCCTCCCGGCGCCGGGAGGCGCCGGGAAAGTCAGCTACGCGAGCTGATTCTCAAGCCACCCCTTTGCTATCCCCGCCTCTCGCCCGGCCCGAGACGCCGCCAGCACGGTCGCACGGCAGCGGAGGGTGCTGGCCAGCTGGTCGCATCCCTTGGCTGCGCCCCGCACCGATTCCTGCAAGCGGCGGGCGGTCCCAGGACAAAAAGTGCCGACGTGCGTGCCTTCGGCATTTCGGAGACGGGCTCGCTGCACCCGGAGGGCCACGCCCAGAGGCTGCGGCTGGTTCCCGAGGGGAGGCGGCCACTTCCTGGCCGCACGGGCCTCAAGAAGGTGGCCGTGCGCGTGCAACGCGAGCCCCCGAGGGAGCCAGCTTTTGGATGTCAGTCGGCGGCAAGTGCGTGTGGCACAGGATGGTAGCTGCAGATGGCAATTTGACGTATGGGTCGAGTGCCGAAGCCGTGCGCCCGTGTTGCAGCAGTGCGCGGAGCGGTGGTGCTGCTGAGCCACGTTTTGAGACCGCCCGCCCTCCATCTAGGAAGCGGCTGCAGATTTGAAGCTTCACGTTCGCAAATGGTGAGGGAATTTCTAGCGAAACGCCCAGCCCGCCCCTTCGACCAGCCTCGGGGTGCGACAGAGAGAAATTACGTAGCACCCCACAATTGCGGATAAGAGTGAGGGGGCGGGCGCGGGCGACGCGGGCGTCGAGCCGGTGGACCTCGTGGCCCTCACCTTCCCTGTCGATGGTGCCCTCCTCGTCCTCCTCCTGCTCCTCCTGCTCCTCCTCCTCCTCTTCCTCGTCCGCGTCCTCGTCCTCATCGTCGTCGACGTCGTCCGCCTCCTCTCCCACCTCCTCCTCCTCCTCTTCCTCCTTTTCCTCCTCCTCCTCCTCCCCCTCCTCCTCCTCCTCCTCCTCCTCCTCCTCTTCCTTCCCCATCCCGTTCCTCCCCCCTCCTCCTTTCCGTCGTCGTCCTCCTCCTCCTCCCCCTCCTCCTCCCTCCTTTCTCGTCGCCCCCCTCCGTCCCCCCCTCCTTTTCCTCCTCGCCCTCGCGGGCGAGGAGGAAAAGGAGGGGGGGACGGAGGGCGCTTTCCCTAACGTGCCGCCGCAGGCGCCGGTTTGCGTGCTCTGACAAGTTCAGCGCCGGGGGGATCGCTGGTGGGCCACGCAGAACGAATGCAAAAACAGCCCGCTGCAGGTGCCGAATGGTTGGCTTGTTCAGTGAACGTAGTTTGGGTCGCGGGTGGGTCGCGGGCTCTCCACCTCCACCTGGAAGGAATTCAAAAACAGCCCGCCGCAGGCACCGAAAAATTTGCTTTGTACACTGAACGCGGTTTGGGTCGCGAATGGGTCGCAGGTTCTCCACCTGGAACGAATGCAAAAGAAACCCGCCGCAGGCGCCGAAAATTTTGGGTGGTCGCGGTTTGTGTCGCGGGTGGGTCGCGGTGGGTCGCGGGTGGGTCGCGGGCGCGGTTTGGGTCGCGAATGGGTCGCAGGTTCTCCACCTGGGACGAATGCATAAGAAACCTGCCGCAGGCGCCGAAAATTTTGGCTGGGTCGCGGGGTCGGTCGCGGGTGTGTCGCGGGTGGGTCGCGGGTGGGTCGCGGGTGCGTTTCGGGGTGGGTCGCGGGTGGTTCGCGGGTGGTTCGCCGGTGGGTCGCGGGTGGGTCGCTGGGGGAGTCGCGGGGTGGGTCGCGGGCGGGTCGCGGGGTGGGTCGCGGGTGGGTCGCGGGGTGGGTCGCGGGTGGATCGCGGGGTGGGTCGCGGGTGGGTCGCGGGTGGGTCGCGGGGTGGGTCGCGGGTGGGTCGCGGGGCGGGTCGCGGGCGAGACGACGACAACAAACAACAACCAACAACAGACAACAACAACAATAACAAAAATCCGCATCGCGGAATCCCACTTCAGCCACGCACCCAGGGACAGTGAATGACCGTTCGGTTCAGCTGCCTCACTCTGATTTGTAAGGACAAAGTATGGAAGAGGAGGAGGAGGAGGAGGAGGAGGAGGAGGAGGAGGAGGAGGAGGAGGAGGAGGAGGAGGAGGAGGAGGGAAGAGGAGAGCGGAGGAGGAGGAGGGAGGCACTGTGAGGGGATGAGGAGGAAAAGGGGGAGAAGGAGGAGGCCGAGGAGGACGATGAGGGGGCACGATAACGATTATAATGCGGAGGAGAAAGAGAAGGATGAGGAGGAAGATGAGGAGGAGGAGGAGGAGGAGGAGGAGGAGGAGGAGGAGGAGGAGGTTGAGGAGGAGGAGGAGGAGGGGGCACGAGGAGGATGAGAAGGAGGAGGAGGAGGAGGTGTCTGTTTCAGTTGGTTCAGCGGCATCACGGGCTCTCTGTCTTGGTCGGTCAGAATCCAGTGCTCGAGCCAGTGCGCATTGCAGTTAGGCACATGTCTGGTGCTGTGCCAGGTGCGATTACCTGGGCAGTTGTGTAGTATCTTCATGATTCTCAGGGTGTATACGCGCTCAACTGGCATCTGCTGTGCAAGTTGGGCGCGGTCCTCAGGCAGTTCGGTATGTCTTTCGTATGGTCGAGAGATTGGAACCTGAGTCCAGAAGAGCTTATGGGCTCAGGCTGGGTCGAAACCGTCTCGGGTCATGTCCTGTCGCCCACGCCAGCCACATGCACAGGCGGCTTTGGACGAGTTCTGGACAACTGCATCGTTTCCGAAGGCTTGCAGTACCAGCAGCAGCTCAGCGTGTCCACCGACGTAGGCACGGCTCCTCATCTTCCTGTTCGGCTGGTACTGCAAGGTCTCAAGCAATTGCCCTCGCTACCCCAGATTCGGGTGTCCAGGATGTTCCCTCGTCAGCGGCCACATGGCGTGCAGCAGTACAGCGGTCGTTGGGATCATGTCACGGACAAGGTGCTTGCCGAGGCAGGCGCGCAGGAGTTGTGGGAGAGTTTCGTGCATGCCATGAAGCTCGAGTTCGCCGACATCTACCATACTCCCAGTGACGAGGCTCACCTCTACCAGGGTAGGGCTCGTGCGCTGTCTTGTCGGCGCGCGCCTGCGCGCAAATTGTCCGCTTTGCCGTATCCCCGTCTCTCCCCTTTCGCCACTTGGTGGAGGTTGTTCACTCAGGTCTTTCGTGAGCTAGGCAAGTTTCAGTCAGCATCTCGTCGTCGTGCCATCCTCAGGTTGTGTAGTCAGCTCCCCGATCTCGGTGACGAGTTCACCGATGCCAGCGCGCGTCCCTGGGCGTTGCTTCTTTGGGCCGCTCCGTCGCTTTACCTGGGAGCGTTCGGCGGTCCTTGCCACCCAACGCCAGGCAGCTCTCGGCGAAGCATCAGCGAACGGCCGGGCACCAGAAGGACTCCAGTTGGAAAAGCTGGGCCGAGTCTCGCAGCAATGCTGTCCTCCTCCTCCTCCTCCTCCTCCTCCTCGGAGGGGGTGCCCTGTTCAACCTGTCCAGGCCTCCCACCCCCTGGCATAGCAGCCCCGCACTTTCGGGACGACGGCTCTCTGCCGCCCGCCCCAGCTGCTCCGCAGCAGGAGGTGGATCGCTCGGTGGCGGAGTGGGTAGCGTACTGGGAGGTGGGGAGGCTGCGTGATGACCTGCAGTGGCCAGAGGACATGGGGCCTCGGCTACCCAGCTTTGATCTCGATGAACTCAAGGCTTGTCTTCGCAGTTGTAAGGCCAGCGGTGGAGCAGGGCATGGTCAGATCTCCCCGAGGCAGTTGCTCGAGCTCCCTGATGCTGGCCCCGGGTGTTCCAGGCAGCTCATCCTCACCATGGAGAGCAGTTTTGTCCGGCCACAGTTGTTGTCCAAGGTGGTCTTCACTTTGAAGCGCACAGGGTTGCTGCGACCGATGGCCCTCGTGCACATCACCCCTGGAGTACAAGGTGGCCTGCGTCGCCCCCTCCTTCGGCGTTGGCAGCAATCCAATTTTCGCGAGTTCTGGTGGTCGACTCGGGGGAGGGGCTCGGGTCGGCTCGTCTGGATTCAAGCGGCTTTCGCCGAGTGGGGTCAGGGGCGTGACCTTCTCGCAGGCACTGTACTCTTAGATGTGCACAAAGCGTTCGAGAACGTCAGGCACGGAGCGCTGCTTAAAGCGGTTCGGTCCACGTGATTTCCTCTCAAGCAGTTGCGTCTTTTGGTGGGCCTTTACAGGCCACCCGGGTCCTGGACCATGCTGGGCCCACGTCGGCCCCCATTCTCACCGAGAAAGCTGTGCTGCCAGGCTGCCATCTCGCTACCGTCATGCTGCAGTCAGTATTGCTCGCTCCGCTGGACATGGTCCAGGCTGCGTTTCCTCTTCGCACCGCTCGTGAGGTACGGATTGGGGGGGGCGTTGGCGACGCGGGGTTGCGCGAGGCTGGTTTCTCCGAGCAGGTGCGTGTGGTGCATGATGAGCTCGATGCCATCCATCTTCCAGTCAGCAAGCCCAAGTCTCGGGTGCTTGCGTCCTGCCCTCGGCTGCGCGTGCAGTCGGCCGCTGCGCTCCGTGCTAAGAGAGTGCTCGGTGTCCAGTCAGAGCGCAATCTTGGCGTGGACTACGCTGCAGGCGGTGTGATCAAGCGTCGCACTAGGAAGGGCAGGGGTGTTGCTGTTAAGGTGCGCCACACAAATATTCTCATGCTGGCTGGGAAGTCGTGCAAGTCTCAGGTGCATCGCATGGTTCGCGCTGCCGCGCAGGCCCCCGCCTCGCCTGGGTCGGTGGTGCTGGGCGCCGACGCACGCGGGCTCAAGGAGGCTCGGTTTCAGCAGGCGTCTGTCCAGAGTCAACGTTTGCCAGGTAGATCCATCACTCTCATGCTGCAGTTGTCTGGGGCCGCGCGTTTAGATCTTGCGTATGATCTCAACGTCTCCCCTCTGCTCGCCATCGCTTCCCCTGTCCGGGGCGGGCGGGCGCCGAGGGGCGTGGTCGAGCGAGGTCTCGCAGGGGCGCGACAGAAACTCGGATTGCAAAAAAAACGAAGGATTGCAAACAAAAGGATTGCATTTTGTTTTGCAATCCTTTTTGCAATCGTGTTTTTTTGTTGCAATCCTTGGGTTTTTTTTGCAATCCTAGGGGCACGGATCATCTTGGCAATGAGTCCGCGGTCTTTTTGCTGCTGTCGCGGCTGCGGCGCTCCGCCCCCGGCATTCGCACGAGCGGTCTCGCGTGGCAGCGTTCCAGCGTGGGCGCTTTCTCGTGTGAGGTGTTGTGCCCGCGGACCGTGGATTCAGCTCTGGGCGCCATGGTGGAACGTTGGCTCT